TCAATTTTTTTTTGCAGAAAAATTGCCCTTTTTCAATATTTTCAGCTAGAATCTGGTGATGTGCATTTCGAGCTTCATTTCTGTTCAAAACCAACTTTCTAGCACTTCTATAAGCTGAGATACAGCCATAAGAAGTTCAGACGTCTGCGTCTCTCATACAGTGCGAGAGACGCAGTGTGTCTCGTTGTCTGCGTATCTGACCTCCAAAACTTGAAATGGCTGTATCTGAGCTCTTAGATGAGCTAGAAAGTTGGTTTTTTGACAGAAAAACCTTGCATTAGAGATTTTCAGAAAATCCATAAAAATTTGGTGTTTTCAAAAAACTTTTTTTTCGAAACTTAAGAATTTTTTACATTTTTAGCTAGCACATGAAACGTTATGCTTTGAGCTCTATTTCTGTCCAAAAACCGGTTTTCTAGAATCTCTAGGATCCGAGATACAGCGGTTCCGAGTTTTGGGGGTGAGAGACGCAGACAATTAGAGTGTCTCTTTGTCTGCGTTTCTCACCTTAATATCATATAATGACTGTATCTCAGCTCCTAGATAAGCTAGAAAGTTGATTCTTTTTGTGTTCTGTGTAGTCTTAAATTTCCTATCATTCTAAATACAAAAAAAAAACTTACTCAAAATCAAAATCCTTCACAAATCCATGACTCTTCAGGTATTGAAGTGCTAACGGTACTGCACCACCTGCATAAGCCCATCCAATCGACCCATTTTGAGTTTTGAGCGCTGCAGCTATTCCAACTCGAATCGTAGGTCGTTGAGAGTGCGAAAAATCGCAAAAAATCGATAAAATTAGAAGAAAACGGAGTAGCTGGGTCATCTAGATGGCTGAGATCTACGAAAAATAAGGATTTTTCTTGGGGAATTCGTGGGCAGAATTTTGTAGGTCTTCTCGACCAGATGACGTTTATTAAAGGTTCCAAGAAGGTCTTTTAGAAGGGTTTCCATTTTGAAAATGACATTTTACATAACTAAAAAAAGATGAAAATGTTGAGCTAATCCTAAAATGAAAGGAGATATATCAAATAATTGGCCTAAAAACTGCCAAAAACTCTTGTTATTCATGTACCAAAACGATACAAAAAGGGGAAACAAGGAAAAAAAAACGATTCTCCCCGGCCGGGAACTGAACCCGGGTCTCGCATGTGACAGACGCGGATACTCACCACTATACTACCGAGGACACGGGAGGAGAGATAAGTGGAAGGCGTATAGAAAAGCGAGGGAAGTGGGAAGGAAGAGGGATACGTTTTTCAAACGCTTTTATCTTGAACAGTTTTAAAGCTATCAAAAATCTGAAAACAAGAGAAAGAAGTAAAATTTGATGATCTACACTTTTGTAGTTGACATCTTTTTGACAGGTAGCTTAGTTTTCAAGATAAATTGGTTTATTTCATATGATACATCAAAAAATAGGCAAAAAAGAGAGAAAAATCAATATTTAACTTTCAAGGTGTCATTATTCTTATGACTGGCACTAGAAATTCTCTCCGGGTACGGTGTCTTTGCTCGCTTCGATTGCTCATCCTTAAAATGTGGTGGCCAATTCTCATCGGTGACCGGTGGAGTGGTTCTAGTACTCATTGAAGCCATGTCCTGAGATTTTCCATGAACCCAAAATGTTTCCATAACTCCTTTCCCTTTAATTATAACCTCTCCTCGAGAACTAGTCTCATATTGGTGGGGATAATGAGAGGTTAAAAGAGAATGAGCCGCTTCTGACATATGGATTTGAGATGGTTTTCCATTTGATTCCATTCTGGAGGCTGTGTTCACTGTGTCACCGAATAGACAGTAACGGGGCATCGACAAACCGACCACACCAGCTACGCAGGGTCCTGGAAAGTTATAAATTTTACAGAGTTAGGAGCCTTTGTATCTCTCTCACCACTGTTAACACCAATCCTCAATTCGACCTGCTCTCTTGGCAAGTGTGGAATTTTAAATTTCCTACAGTATTCCATAAATTGAAGGGACATGTCCACGATTTGTCTGAAAATCTCAAATTTCAGCAAATGCGCTCTAATGACAAAACAACTCACTTAATATGTGCATAACCATTTCTAGTGGGTAGTCCAGAAACACAAAGATATCCATCACCAATCGATTCGACTTTATAAACGCCGTGCTCTTCGATGATTGTATCAAAATTACTGTACAAATCATTGAGCAAATTCACCACTTGAAACGGTGAACACTTTTGAGATAGTTGTGTGAATTTGACGACATCCGAAAAGAATACGGTCACTGAATCGAATCCCTCCGGTTCCACGGTTTGACCAGCTTTTAGGCGTTCCGCTACTTGTCTGGAATTTGTCAAATTTTGGGAATATATATTAGAAAACTTGGTAAGTCATCAGCTTTTTTTTGGCGCAAAAATCAGTTTTCTAGGCCGCCTGGGAGCTGAGATACAGTGATTTAAAGTTTTCGAGAGACGCAGTGAAGCGAGAGGGCTCTCGTTGTCTGCGTCTCTAGCCCTATAAGCTGCAAATGACCATAACTTGGCTCCCAGTAGATCTAAAGCATTTGTTTTTGTGAAAAAATAGAGCTCAAAACACAAGTTTTCAAATTCTAGCCAAAAATGAACATTCCCAAGAATTGCGAACAAAAAATATTTTTTGTCTAAATTTATTATTTTAGATTAAATATTTAAAAATATATAGCAAACGATCAACTTCATTTTGGCGCTAAAATCAGTTTTCTAGGCCGCCTAGGAGCTGAGATACAGTGATTTAAAGTTTTCGAGAGACGCAGAGAAACGAGAGCGCTCTCGTTTCTCTGCCTGCTTAGAGGCGCATATCTCGTTTAGTTTCTGAGCTATTAATGTTTTCAAAAGTGAACAATGTGTAGAATTTTATGCGTAACAATTTTACAGTTGACCAATTTTTGCTAACTTTTCTAGTTTTCAAGATACTCACTTCGGCAACATTCTGCTCAACAAAATATCCGCCTTCTTCTTCTCCAATGTCAATTCTTTGGTTCTCTCCTCAATGTCTACTTCCAGTGTAGTTGTGTATTCCTCAAGCATATTGAATACATGATCCATTAGATTTGTATTGGCTCTGCAATCTATTTGTGGACATCCGGACAAACAGAAAATCTTACTTTGGTGTCATTTCGAAGAGCAGCTTACAAATCTGCTCACTTTTCGGGCGGTCCTCAGGAACTTCCGACCAACAATCCTTGACCAAAGTGCATAGAGATGGACTGACTTCTGCATCAGGAATGAGCTCCGGGCGGACTGCTCTGGCTCCGCCCTTTTTGATCATGTAGAGGATTTCTGAATGAGTTCAATTATAAGGTTCTAAAAGGATTTAGCTTACCATCCGCGCCCTCTTTCCTATTCGCAAAATCCCACGCCTCCCGTTTCGTTAAAATCTCCGAAGCAACAATTGCAAATGAGTACACGTCGGCACTCGGATCCATTTGGGATACTGTAAGTGAGCCACGTAGCACTTCTGGAGCTGCCCATAGAAGACGTCGTTTTGTTGGTGTGTGCTCTTCGAGAAGGTCATCCATTCCGAATTCTGCGAGTTTTACCTGCCAGGAATCGTTTACAAGGCAGGTGGCGGAACGGAGGTTTCCATGAAGGCGGAGGAACGATTTGTGAAGGAAGTTGAGACCCTGAAAATTAACAAGTTGATTGCACGACTTCATAAGAATTACAAAGCAATTTTCAGATCTCAAATCGATCCATTTTAAGCCACGTTACAGCGGTTTAAAGTTTGCTTGCGTTGCAGACCCTTGCGTCGCGGTTGCGTCGCGGTTGCGTAGCGCCTAACGTTGCTCGAAACGCTCGTAGCACCATGAATCGTGTTGAGATTAATCTATCCAACTATTTCAGTATGCGTGCAAAATTGCAGCTTTTTGGGATCATTTTGAGCCAAGTTATTGCTGTTTTGAAATTTGACCTACGCGCTGCGGTCGCGTCGCGGCTGGCTAATTTCGTTCAGGATGGAGGGAATGGAATGAAAATTTGAGAGTTTATTGAAAATTTCTACAGTAGCACTGTGAGTGAATTTCAAAGCTCTAAGCCCACTTGAAAAAAAGTTAAGCCGCCGCGACGCGTGGGTCAAGTTTTGAATGAGCATAACTTGTCTCAAATTGCTCTTAAAGAGTTGAACTTCTGGCTAAATTTCGCACATTCGGCTAGCTTTAATTCTGATCAAAAATCAACTTTCTGGCACATCTAGAACGCGAGATACAGTGGTTTGAAGTTTTGGAGAGACGCAGACAGTTAGAGTGTCTCGTTGTCTGCGTCTCTCGCCTTACAAGATATAAATGATGATATCTCGGCTCCCAGGAGGTCTACAACATTCATTTTTGCGCGAAAATAAAGATCAAAACCAGAATTTTCAGATTCTAACAAAGATATTCTCTCAAAACTTCCAAAAAATTTCCAAAATGTTTTTTTGTTGAAAAAGACCAAATTTAGCATATTTTTAAATAAAAATCTTTATCTCAACTTTTTCTGACCAAAAATCAATTTCCTAGCACCTTTAGAACGCGAGATACAGCCATTTTTATATTTGGTGGTGAGAGACGCAGACAACGAGACAGCCTAACTGGCTGCGTCTCTCAAAAACTTCAAGGGACCATATCTCGGCTCCCAGGCGGCCTAGAAACCTCATTATTTCACCAAACTCACCTCCGCGATATCCCTAATAATACAAAACATGAAAAAGCCATCCATCGAAAAGTTCCCACGAGATATGATATCCTGAAGTGATCCTCTGGAGCACATCTTCCAAACCGAGATCCATAGCGGTCCATCAATCGACAATCCAATGAACTTGTTCAAATTGTCGTGATCCAGCTTTCTCAATTTCGCATATTTCTCCTTCTCCATTGAATTTAAAGAAATTCCATGGTGTCTAGTGGTCAGGACCAAATCCTTCTCATAGATCAGTACCGTATAATTCTCATGGAAACCGTACAGGCCCTCTCCAGTCATTTTAGAATCCCCGGTTACTGTAGAAGGTCCTGAGTTGATGGATCTTTTTGAGTTTTCCGTTTTTCGTTTCTCCGGAATCTGAAGTTTAATCGAAGGAATCTGCCATTCGGAATTCTGTCGTTCCTGCTCCAATTTCCGATTTCTCACTATCCAACCAGCACAAATTATGATAATTAGTACTAGGAAGAGGATTACAATGCCAGCGACAAAAATCAATACTCCATATTGATCCCAGAACTTGATTGGGCAATTTCTCCCGGAAAATCCGCAAATCGGGGTGTCCAGCGGTCTCTGATTGCCCCAAAAGTGCCAAACGGATTTGTTCTCGTCGGAATAGCCAAGGGACATTGTCTGGAAATATTTAAGATGAGCAATACTAAAAAATGGGTCAAAAAACAGTACAATTACCGAGGAGGCGTTGAAAAATGTCATATTGATTAGTGGGATTTGCTCGTAATCAGCATCCAGACCGTATAGCTGATAGAAGGGGACACGGTAGAGAGTCTTGCTGATTTGGACACGACCCGTCATTCCTGGAAATTTTGGGAACTTTTAATTTTCAAAAGTTCCCGGAAAATAGTTCCAACTAACCATCAAAACTGGTCATCAACTGTGGCACTAAATAATCCAAATCATTGTAAATATTCGGATCCGTCGTATTCAATTTGTCCACTGCCTGTCCATACAAGTAGAAGACGTCAAACAGATGACGTGCATAGGAACCCATCGAAGCGGACGACGCATTCACACATGCAGACGAGTTACAGTTCATCGGCGGACTTCTCACAGCGTCTGCAGCGTTTTTTGTAAAGTACTGCAGAAACTCCGCGTCCTGCACATCACTGTTTATGTCGATCTGGAAGAATGTCTATATCTCGGTTCATTTTGGGCCTATAAAAATGTTTAAACTTGGAAAATATGCTAAACTATATTTTTTACATTTCTTTAGTTTACAACTTTCTTCTAGCTTTTCTAATTTCTGAGATATGCGCCGTTTAAGGAGCCGCAGAGAAACGTGAGAGCTCTCGTTTCTCTGCGCCTCTCATAGCTTTAAAGGCTCATATCTCTCTTAGTTTTAAAGCTATTACGAAAATTCAAAAATTGAGAGGTGTACAATTTTATGCTGCACAATTTTGTAAGAAACAGTTTTTTTTGATAGCTTCTTTGATTTTTGAGATATGCGCTTTTAAAGCCGAGTTCTCTCGTTTCTCTGTGCCTTCAAGCTCGGGCTGATTTTCAGGCACTTGTATCTTGCTTAGTTTTGAAGCTATTTGAAAACTTAAAATTGCATTTTATGTGAAATTTCATGGTTCACATTTTTGTAATTGGACTATTTTTTATAGCAGTCTTGGTTTCCGAGATTTGCGCCATTAAAGCCGGCTACTCTTCTCTGCTTCTCTGTTAGCTCTAAGAGTCGTGTCTGACATAAAATTTTATGTTTCACATTTTTGTAATTTAAAGGTTTTTGATAGCTTTCTCAGTTTTGGAGATATGCGCCTTTAAAGCTGAAAGAGACGCAGAGAAGCGAGAGTGCTCTCGTTTCTCTGTGGTTCTCCTGACTTTGAAGACGGATATCTTGGTTAGTTTTGTCGCTTTCTATATTTTCAAAATTGAGTCTAATGTAAAGTTTTATGCTCTACATTGTCGTAATTTACATCTTCTATCTAGTTCTTCTAGTTTAGAAGATATCCTCCCAAAAACTAACCACCAACATCTTCTCCGCCGCTTTCTTCGCCATACTCTCATTGCCATCCGGATTAGCACTGAACGACTCCCAGAGTGGTGTGAGACCATTTTTGACTGAAAAATAGCTTAATTACCCCTCTAATTACCCCTTATTATCTCACATGTCTTCTTTCCCACACTCGTCTGCACTCCATACCCAATACTTCTCATGGTGAGCAGAACATGCACATATTCATTTGTGGTCATGTTCTCTTGGGCGATTTTGATAAGATAATCACGTTTTTCAGGGCCGGAAATCGCACAGAATAGGATTACTGTAAGATTTGGAAGATTTCACAAAAAAAATTGCGGCTCTAGCTAAATTTTGAGCTGAGATACGGAGGAAAAAATTTGGAAAAAAAATTTTTTGAAAAAAAAAAACTTTGACTCCGAAAAATCGGGATTATCTTATCAAAATATCCCTAAGTTTTAGACAAATATGGAGTTTCAGACAGTGTGGGAAAATCAAAAAATTATATAAAAAATACTCACAAGTCTTTTTGCCCACCGCTGACTGTACTCCATACCCGATACTTCTCATGGTGAGCAACACATGCACATAGTCATTGGATATCATATTCTCTTGACCGATTTTGATAAGATAATCACGTTTTTCGGGCCCGGCAATTGCACAGAATAGGATTACTGGAAAATTTTTGAGTTTACATAGAAAAATTGAGTCTCTAGCTCACTTCGAAAAGCTGTAACTTTGCTGAAAATTGTGCTGAGAATATGATTTTTGTATTTATCTGATGCTTAAATTATGAGAAGTTTAAAAGTATAAAGATCAGAAAAAAGTTTAGATTTCTAGCTTTTCTGGAACCCGAGATATGAGCGCTAGAAGTTTAGAAGAGACGCAGACAGTTAGAGCGTCTCGTTGTCTGCGTCTCTAGCCCCCAAAACTTCAAATGACCATAACTCGGCTCCTAAAAATGCTAAAGCCCTGATTCGTTTTGTTTTCCGAATACTTCCTGATTTATCATGTTTCAATAGCAAGAATTGGAAATAAACAGTTTTTTTCTGAATTTTTTTTCAAAAAATTCTGATTTTTGGTCATTTTTGAATTTCCAATTTTTTCAGCTTCAATTCAGTTCAAAAATCAAATTTCTAGCTTTCCGAGGAGCTGAGATACAGCGCTTTCAAACTCTGGTAAGACGCAGACAGTCGGAGTGTCTCGTTGTCTGCGTCTTTCTTCCAAATTGGAATCGTTGTATCTCGGCTCCCATGCGGTCTAGAAACTTGATTTTTGCACTAAATTGATGGGATTTTGCTGAGAATTCATTTATTTTCATTTTTTTGTATTAGAGCATGATGATCTAAAAATGCCTTTTTTTTTGTTAAAACTTGGAAAATGCCCAAATTTTTTGTTATTTCCAAATTTCCCATTTCTCCAGCTTAATTTTGGTCCAAAAACCAAGTTTCTATATTATCTAGAAGCCGAGATACAGCGCTTCAAAAAAAAAACCGGAGAGACGCAGACAGCAAGAGCGCTCTCGCTTCTCTGCGTCTCTCCAAACTTCAGACGGCCATATCTCGGCTCCTAGCATAGCTAGAAACTTGATTTTTTTTAAAATCAAATTAATGGAAATCGTCTATATTTTTTATTCAAAAAGAATACTGAAAAAAATCCACTTACTTCTCGCTCTCGATTTAACCGCATTGAGTGTATACCGCGTAGCTGCCGCATTCGTATACTCCAATTGTCCCTTCCATACGATATTCACCGGAAATGAATCCGGGTCGTTCAATGTGGCTTCCACGTCATCAACCACCGATTGACAGTAGTTTTGCTCATCCGAGTAGTAGAGAAGAGCAATTCTGTCCCATTTGTAGAGCTCCAGAACTTTGGCGGTCGCCTGGCCGAGCCTGCAGGAAAAAGTTTGGTAGTAACGTGAAAAATCAAAACTCTAGTGGTCCTAGGAACCGAAATACAGCCATTTGAAGTTTGTGAGGGACGCAGACAGCTAGAGTGTCTGGCTGTCTGCGTCTCTCACCTTCAAAACTATGAATGACAATATCTGAGGTTCTAGAAGAGCTAGAAAGTTGATTTCTTCACAGAAATAAAACTAAAAATATGTATTTTGAAAATTGTCGATTTTTCAGAACTGTCTTTTTTTCAAATTTTCCAAAAATCCAAAAGGGGAATTTTTTTTTAACTTTCGAACATTCTGAATTTCAGGAAAAATTTTGCTACAAAAATCGAGTTTCTAGCTTATTCAGGACCCGAGATACAGCAATTTGAAAATATGGAGGTGAGAGACGCAGACAACGAGACACTCTAACTTTCTGCGTCTCTCCGAAACACTTCAAATAAATGTACTTTTAGGAATGCTAGAAAAGTGATATTTTGTAATTTGTAAGATTTTGATTCTTTTACTTTTATCAACTAAAACTTTTCTGAAAAAAAAAATTATATTTCGAAAAATTTTTAACTTGAAAAACTTGAAAAATTGTTTCGGAACTGTAATTTTGAATTTTCAGCTCTATTTCTGTTTAAAAAACACTTCTTTAGCTCTTCTAGAAGCCGAGCAACAAGCAGCGGAAGTTTCGAAGAGACGCAGACAGTTAGAGTGTCTCGCTGTCTGTGTCTCTAGCCTCTGGAACTTCAAATGACTATATCTCGGGTTCTAAAAGAGCTAGAATGTTGGTTTCTTCACACCAAACTTCTAAATTTCGCCTACTTACGTCTGTGCAGTTGGTTGAACCGACGTCACATATGGGAATCGCGAGGTGTCCGCCAATTGAGACTCACTGACGAATCCCCAAGCCAACACTAATTTTTGGTAGATCACAGAAAGTGTTCCCATCACTTCCAAAGCTTTGGCGCATGGCGGTCCAATCACTACATCTACTTTCAGGTCCTTCATGAATTTGAGTCCAGCTTTTACGGCACTCGCTTTGTCGCATTCTGTGTATTCCATTATGTATCTGGAAGAATCTTGAGGTTGTTTTTGAGTTTTTCAAGTTTATGAAGCTAGAGACGCTGAAAAAACATTTTATTTTAGTTCAAACATCTAGTTTCTAACCCATCTAGGAGCCGAAGTATAGTGGTTTGAAGTTCTGAAGACGAGAGACGCAGACGACGAGACACGCTGCGTCTCTAACCTCCCTACTTAAAACGACCGTATCTCGGCTCCCAGAAAAGCTAGAATATTGATTTCGCCGGTATTCTGTGGTTTAGCATTGTTTTAGTTTGCCTCTGGTTTGAAAATCATGCTTCTAGCACTTCCAGGAGTCGAGATACGGGCGTTTAAAGTTGTGAGAGACGCAGACAGTTAGAGGGTCTCGATGTCTGCGTGTCTAGCCTTCTAACCTCTAAATGACTGTAAATCGGGTTCTAGAAGTGCTAGAACACTGATTATTGGACAGAATATTATTGCGCTCTTGAAATTTAGTGTTTTATATTGGTATTCCCCTTATTGGGAAGCTCCGCTCCTTTATGGGGATCATTATACGTCATCAAGGGTGACAAAGGGACTGTCAAAATTGCCATGTACCTTTCAATTAGGAAATTTTGAAATTACAAAAAAAAACGTTTTGGACACATTTCCTGGAGTCGAGATACAAAGTGCAAAGAGCCGGAGACACAGACAACGAGACACCCTAACTGTCTGTGTCTCTCCGAAACTTCAAATGGCTATATCTCGGCTCCTAGAAGAGCTAGGTGGTTTGTTTTTGTACAGAAATAAAGCTTAACATCTACATATTCCCCCAGCTTTTTATTTGAAAGACGCAGACAACTAAATTCCCTCGTTGTCTGCGTCTCTAGCGTTTGAAACTTCAAATCCCTATATCTCGGCTTCTAGGAAAGCTGGAAACTTGGGGTTTCCTGTATTTTGGAGATAATTAACCCAATTTTTTTTGGTTTACAACTCACTCGAAATCAAAATCCTTCAACATCCCCTTTTGCTGCAGGTACTGTACTGCTATCGGTACAGCACCACCACAAGACGACCAACCAATGGAACCGGATTGGGTGGTCTGGGCGGCAGCGATTCCGACACGGATCTAAAATTTGTTTACAGATTCCAATGTAAAATTTTAAGAGCTTTCGAATGGTGCAAAATGTGAACGTTAGCTTAAAAACTGAAAAAGTTATGAGCAGTTTTCTGAACTTACCGTTATTTTTGGAGTTGTCACATTTGAAATCTGAAACTGTGAATTTCCAAGATGAAACAAAAAAATTAGCCCAAAAATAATACACAAATTAGCTAAGCACATTTTAGCATCAGAAAATCTTTTTTTGGAATTTCTTGGAATTTTAAAACCGGATTAGAAACTTCTAGGAGGGCTGGGAAAAGGGGGCGGAGCCTAATTGGAGGATTATAATTTTTTCGTCAATTTTAAACCTTTTCTATTGGGATTTTTATAATTTGAAACCATTTTGGAGGAAATTTAGGGCTTCTTTTTGAAATTTTGGTGTAAAATANGGGAAATTTTGATTTTTGATGTTTTTGAAGAAATTTTAGAATTAGGAAAATTTAAAAATTCAGAAATTCAGAAATTCAGAAATTCAGAAATTCAGAAATTCAGAAATTCAGAAATTCAGAAATTCAGAAATTCAGAAATTCAGAAATTCAGAAATTCAGAAATTCAGAAATTCAGAAATTTAAAAATTCAGAAATTCAGAAATTCAGAAATTCAGAAATTCAGAAATTCAGAAATTCAGAATTTGAAATCGGACTTTCTAGAAAATTCAAAGTTAGATATTCCAGAAACTCAAAAATTTAAAAAGAAAATAAAAATAAAAAATCGAAACTGTAGAATACAATTTTTATTCAAAAAATTCAGATAAAAATATACAGAAATATATACAAATGAGCAAAAAATAAGAAATGGAAAATTCATATTTTTTTGAAAACTGGGATTCTAAAAATCTAGGATTCTAGCTTCAAAAAATCCTAAATTTCAAATTTCCAAAAATTTTCAGAACCCAAAAATTTCACATTTCAGATTTTTAAACTATCCATCTTATATTGTCTATACAACGGATCATTATTATTCATATGCTGACTTCCAGGCCTCGATCCATGCGAGCTGACACTTCTGACTTCTGGAGACACGCTTCTAGCCTCTGGAGCCCTCGCACCACCTCCCCATCTCTCATTGGTCACTGGTGGAGTACTCCGATTGCTCATACTAACCACATCGACGTCTCCAGCGGCTCCAAGCACCCAAAATGTTTCCATAACTCCTTTTCCTTTAATTATAACTTCTCCCCGGGAATTTGTTTCGTATTGATGGGGATAATGGGTGGTGAGAAGAGAGTGGGCGGCTGCAGAAAGATGAATAAGGGATGCTTTTCCGTTTGATTCCATTCTCGAGGCAGTGTTCACTGTGTCGCCAAATAGACAGTAACGGGGCATTGATAAACCGACCACACCAGCAACACAGGGTCCTGAAAATATTAAAATTCGAGTTACGCTTAAAATTTCTCATATTTTGTCAGTTTACAGCTTTTGGATAGCTAGAAAACTAAAAGAGAAATAAGCGCTTGAAAACTTGCTTTCAGTTTGGGGGGGGGGGGGGGGGGGGTGCGCTTTAAAGGCGCATTTCTCCAAACTACAGTAGCTATAAAAAAACTGCAAACTACCAAAAGAAAGATCATAAGATTGCACATATATCAGTTTTTAAATTTTTTTAATAGCTGCAAAACTAACCGAGATATGCGTCTTTAAAGTTAGGAGAGACGCAGAGAAACGAGAGCGCTCTCGCCTCTCTGCGTCTCCCTGACGGCTTTGAAGGCTATTATCTTGCTCAGTTTTGTAGCTACTCAAAATTTACAAGTTGTACTCTATGTAAAATTTTGTGCTCTACATTTTTGCAATTTACAACTTTTTGATAAGTATTCTAGTTTTTGAGATATGCACCTTTAAAGCCGAGCGTCTCTGCGTTTCTCTTATGGTCGCCGCTTCTCTCCTTTACAACTTTAAAGGCGCATATCTCGAAAACTAGAGAAGCTAGAAAAAAGTTATAAACTAAAAAGTTGTAGAAAATGAATTTTCACACATTTTCCAAGTCTGAAATTTCTCATTGGTCCCAAATTAACTGAGATATGAAAGTTTCAATTTTTTGAAAAAAAATTTCACAATTTTTTTCCATTTTCTTGGATTTCCGGTTCAAAAAATTACACACGAAATTTTGTCAAATTTTCATATTTTTTGGTCTTTCTCAATTTTTTGGTTTCCAGTTCATGAATCAAAAAGATATCCGACAAAAAATGTTATGTTCAAAAAAAATTTTTTTTCGATTGCTCATTTTTGTTTTTCTAGTAAAATATAGTAAATGCGTAGTAAATTTGACATTTTCAGAGAAATCTTACATTTACTATAATTGTTGTTTTTTCTCGAAAAACCAAAAAAATTGGAGAATGTTGAATTTCGAAAAATTGGGATTCCAAGAACAGAATTTTCTTAAATTTGTATTTTCAGAATTTCAAAGTTTTCAAAATTTCAAAACTTTCCAGAATTTCAGAACTTCAGTATTCCTGAATTTCAGAATTTCAGAATCTCAGAATCTCAGAATCTCAGAATCTCAGAATCTCAGAATCCCAGATCTTCAGAATCTCAGAATCTCAGAATCTCAGAATCCCAGAAGCTCAGAATCTCAGAATCTTAGAATCTCAGAATCTCAGAATCTCAGAATCTCAGAATCTCAGAATCTCAGGATCTCAGAATCTCAGAATCTCAGAATCTCAGAATCTCAGAATCTCAGAATCTCAGAATCTCAGAATCTCAGAATTCAACTCTTCAGAATCCCAGATCTTCAGAATCTCAGAATCTCAGAATTTCAGAATCTCAGAATCTCAGAATCTCAGAATGTCAGAATCTCAGAATTTCAGAATCTCAGAATCTCAGAATCTCAGAATCTCGGAATCTCAGAATCTCAGAATCTCAGAATCTCAGAATCTCAGAATCTCAGAATCTCAGAATCTCAGAATCTCAGAATCTCAGAATCTCAGAATCTCAGAATCTCAGAATCTCAGAATCTCAGAATTTCAGAATTTCAGAAGTCCAGCTTTTTCAAAAGAATTTCCTGGAACTTCCAAATTTCGTTAATACTGATGACATATTTCGTCGTAGTGCACAAAAACTACACAAAATTTCTCGTATTTCACATCTTGCACCTTAAAGGATTTGCACGTATTCACTACTTCCCGAAATTAGACATTTTCCGAAAAGAAGCCAAAATCTGTGTCTAGATTTTGCAATTTTATGATGATGATTATACGAAAATTCTATTTGACCTCAAATTTGGGGGGGGGGGGGAGTCAAAATCCAGAATTCCAGATTCTCAGAACTTCAGAATCTTTAAATTCCAGCAATTCTGAATTTCAGAAACATACAAATTTGAAAAACGTCCAAAAATCTTACCACTATTAACACCAATCCTTAATTCGACCTGCTCTCTTGGCAAATGTGGAATTTTGAATTTCCTACAGTACTCCATAAATTGAAGGGACATATCCACGATTTGTCTGAAAATCTCAAATTTCATCAAACGCGCTCTAATGACAAAACAACTCACTTAATATGTGCATAACCATTTCTAGTGGGTAGTCCAGAAACACAAAGATATCCATCACCAATCGATTCGACTTTATAAACGCCGTGCTCTTCGATGATTGTATCAAAATTACTGTACAAATCATTGAGCAAATTCACCACTTGAAACGGTGAACACTTTTGAGATAGTTGTGTGAATTTGACGACATCCGAAAAGAATACGGTCACTGAATCGAATCCCTCCGGTTCGACGGTTTGACCAGCTTTTAGGCGTTCCGCTACTTGTCTGGAATTTTTCTGATTTTCTAGGATTTATGATTAGGAGTTATATGGAAAAAAAAGGAAAGTTATCAGATTAGTTTTATCGCGAGAAATCAGCTTTCTAGGGCTCCTGGGAACTGAGATACCGCTATTTGAAGTTTTGGAGAGACGCAGACTGTTAGACACTCAAAGAGACGCAGACGACGAGACTGCCTGCGTCTCTCACCTAGAAAACTTGGAATGAATGTATCTCAGCTCTTAGTGTAGCTAGAAACTTGGTTCTTTTTCCAATTGATAGCTCAAAACTAATGTTTCAATAGTTCAGTGTCATGTTGTCTGCGTCTCTAGCCTTCAAACCGCAAATGACCCTATCTCAACTTCCAGAAACCCCAGAAACTCGATTTTTGTGGCAAAATGAAGAAATCATACCTTGGCAACATTCTGCTCAACAAAATATCCGCCTTCTTCTTCTCCAATGTCAACTCTTTGGTCCTTTCCTCCACCTCGACTTCCAAAGTAGATGTGTATTCCTCGAGCATGTTGAATACATGATCCATTAGATTCGTTTTTGTTCTGAAAAGTTCGCAGCTCAAAAATCAGATTTCTAGTTCTTCTAGGATCCGAGATACAGGCGTGGTCAGAGACGCAGTGTGTCTCGTTGTCTGCGTCTCTCCAAGTGGCTATATCTCGGCTGCTAGATGAACTAGAAGTTGGGTTTTGTTCCTACTTTGGCATCAAATCTCTCAATTGAACACATATATTTTCAGAATTCGGTCTATCCTCTGGATCCTCAGCCCAACAGTCCTTGACCAATGCAATTAGAGCTGGATTGACGTCAGGCACATCTGTGATGATGTCAGGACGTAGAGGAGATGACCCGCCTTTTTTGACGATGTAGAGAATTTCTGGAATTTTCTTTTTTTCAAAAAAAGATTAAGGGTCTTCTCACCGTCATACGTCTCTTTTCGATCCGCCAAATCCCACGCCTCCTTTTTGGTTAGAATCTCCGAGGCAACGATTGCAAATGAGTACACATCGGCACTCGGATCCATTTGGGATACTGTAAGTGAGCCACGTAGCACTTCTGGCGCAGCCCACATCAAACGCTTCTTGGTTGGGGTGATTTCTTCGAGAAGGTTGTCGGTTCCAAATTCTGCTAGTTTTACTTGCCAGGAGTCATTTACAAGACAGGTGGCCGAGCGGAGGTTCCCATGAAGGCGGAGGAATGATTTGTGAAGGAAGTTGAGACCCTGAAATGTCAGAAAAACATAAAAATTTGAAAAACACTTCGAGACCGTTTTCAGAACTCAAATCAGCCAATTTTAAGCCAAGTTACAACAATGTGAAGTTTGGACTCATGCGTTGCGGTTGCGTAGCGGCTAACTTTGCTCAAAGTGTCTGGAGCACCATGAAACTTGTTGAACACAATTAAATCAACTGATTCAATGAGCACACAAAATTTCAGTTTTCTGGCTCAATTTTGAGCAGAGTTAGGGCTATTCAAAGTTTTGACCTACGCGGCGCGTTCGCGTCGCGGCTGGCTAACTTTGCTTCTGATGGAGGGAATGGAGTGAAATTCAGAGGGTTTATTTGAAACTATTACAGTAGCATACTGTACAAATTGCAAAACTAGGACCACTTGGAAAAAAGTTAGGCAACCGCGCCGCGCATGTCAAAACTTCGAATAGCTGTAACTTGGATTAAAAATGAAGGCGGAGGAACGATTTGGCGAGATAGTTCATGCCCTGGAAAATTTCCTTTGAATTGGTGCCGAAAACCAAGTTCAAAGCGTGGGTACTAGAGACGCAGACAACGAGACTCATTCATTGTCTGCGTCTCTTCAAAGAGCTAGATCTCGGCTCCTAGGAGAGCTAGAAAGTTGATTTTTGGAGCAAGTTGAAGCGCAGACTATGGGAAATTGGAACATTTTCAAGAGAGCCTTTCTACATATTTTTGTGAACTAACATTTTTAGATTCCCCAGTGCTTGGGAACTGAATCAGACCAAAAATCAAGTTTCTATACCATCTGAAAGCCGAGATGCAGCGATTTCAAGTTTCGGAGGATAGAGACGCAGACAAGCAGACACACTGCGTCTCTTTAAAACATCAATTGACTATGTCTCGACTCCTAGATGGTCTAGGAGCCTGGTTTTTTGACTAACTTAAAGGAAATTCTGTGAATTTTATGATTTCAAAAAAAATTTTTTTAAAAAGCAAAACTTTTTCAATATTCGAAAATTTTGCTACTATTTCAAAATTAAAAAAGAAATTTCCCGCTCAAAAAAAAGAGACTTTTACAAGAAAAACCAATATTCTAGGTCATCTAGAAGCCAAGATATTACCGTCAGAATATTTGAAGAGACGCAGACAGTTAGAGTGTCTCGTTGTCTGCGTCTCTCACCTCCGAACTTGAAGCGCCTGTATCTCAGCTTTTAGAAGGCCTAGAAGTTCCATGTTTTCGCGAAACCCACCTCCGCAATATCCTTTATGATACAAAACATGAAAAAGTAATCCATCGAGAAGTTTCCACGAGACAGAATGTCTTGAAGGGATCCTCTGGAACATAGTTTAGTGACCGAGATGAATTGAGATCCGTCAATCGATAATCCGATAAATTTGTTGAGATTCTCATGTTCCAGCTTTCTCAATTTCGCATATTTTTCCATATCCGATTTTGTTAAATTCATATATTGATACTTCACGTTAACACCATATCCTTCTCGTACATCATAACAGTGTAGTTCTCACAAAACTCGCTTCCCGTCGATTGTCTCGAATCGCCGGTAATATTCGATGGCCCCGATTGAATGGACCGTTTGCTGGTCCCCTTTCTTTGTTTCTCTAATTCTCTCAATTTCACATAACTGATCTGCCATTCGGAATTAATTCTCGCCTGCTCGTCACGTCGGTTTTTGAGCATACAGTAGAAGCAGATCAAATTCATGGTGATCATTAAAAGGATAAGACCGGCGCCCACGAAAATCAAAACTCGGTATTGGTCCCAAAATGGAATCGGACAATTTTTCCCTAGAAATCCGCAAAGGGGCGTGGCCAACGGTCTCATATTGTTCCAGAAGTGCCAAACGTCGACAGACTCGTTTTTGTAGTTCAGAGAGATGTACTGAGAAGTGATTTTGGAGATTTGAAGTTTTTTGATATTTTGGATTTCAGAATTTTCGGAAAATTCTGAAATTCTGAATTCCAGAAATTCTGAAATTCTGAAATTCTGAAATTCTGAAATTCAAAAATTCTGTGATTCCAATATTCTAGAATTTTTGGGAATTTTTGGAAATGTTCGAAGTTTTGGAATATTCAGAATTTATGAAAATTTCGAAAGTTCGGAACTTTCGAATTTTTCAAAATTCTGGAATTTTTAAAGATTCAGGATATATCGAAATTCTGGAATTTTTGAAAATTTCGAATTATTAAAACTTTTGGGATTTATGGAATTTTCTGAAATTTTCGAAATTCTGGGATTTTCGAAATTCTCTGAATTTTGGAATTTTCGAGATTCCGAAAATTAATGTTTGAAAAACCAGAATTTCAAAAATTCGAAAATTCCAGAATATCGAAAAATTCGAAACCTAAAAATTACAAATTTTAAAAAATTCTGGAATTTTCGGAACTTTCGGGATTTCAGAGGTTTCAAACTCATTGGATTCTCTAAAAACAAAATTTCTAAAAAATCCTACTGCTACCGTAGTTCCATTGTTGAAGGTGAGATTCATCAGTGAGATTTGCTCATAATTCTCATCCAATCCATATACTTGATAAAGTGGCATTCGAGATAAATTGGCATTTATGGAAACAAGTCCGGTGAGTCCTGAAAAACTTTATATCTTCAGATTCCTCTAATTTTCAGCGTCGATCTGCTGGTAAAATCAAGTTTCTAGACCGCCTGGGAGCCGAGATACAAGCGTTTGAAGTTTTAAGAGACGCAGACAACGACACACTCTGACTGTCTGCGTCTCTTCAAACTTCAAAAAGATGTATCTCGCGTTCTAGAAGAGCTAGAAAAGTGATTTTAACAGAGAATTAAAGGAAATTAAATGAGTTTTGAGGAAATCAGAAAAAGCCTGGAATTGGTCTAAAAATCAACGTCTGGGAGCGGAGATACAGTTATTCAGAGTTTCGGAGGCCAGATACGCAGACAACGAAATTCTCTGACTGTCTGCGTCTTTTGAAACTTTGAACAGCTATATCTCGCGCCGAAGAAGAGCTAGAAACTTGCTTCTTTTTGGATTTTGTGTATTTCTAGATTTTCTATCTCTTTAGCTTCAAATTGGTCCAAAAAATCAATACTAGCGAGACTGAGCTGATTTAGAAGTAAATTTTTACTTTTTTTGGATTTTCGAATTTCTGTACAGGCGCTTCAAGTTCGGAGGTGAGAGACGCAGACAACGAGACACTCTAACTGTCTGCGTCTCTTCTAAACTTCAAACAGCAATATCTCGGCTTCTAGAAGAACTAGAACCGGTATTTTTTTTCGAAAAATCAGAGAGGGAAAGATAAGAAATTCGGAAATTTGAAAACTATTCAGAATTCATAATCCTCAAGCAATATTTGGAGAATTTTTATTGAAATTCCGCTCTCATCATAAAACATACAAATTTTGCTCTCCTTCAGTTTAAAAACCAGGTTTTTAGGCCACCTAGGAGCCGAGATACAGCCGTTCGAAGTTTTGAAGAGATGCAGACGACGAGAAACGCTGCGTCTCTTACTTCAACAGGAGACGCAGACATTGAAGTTTCTAATCGCCGTATCTCGGCTCCTAGGATAGCTAGAAACTTTATTTTTTCACCAATTGTCGTGGCCTAACTTTTCAACTTTTTAGACCACAAAATTTCCAAATTTCCAAACATCTCACCATCAAACGAAGTCACCAAGTTCGGTATGAACTTTCCCATATCATCATAAACTGCAGAACTCGTCGAATTCAACCTCGTCAAGCCGATTCCATATAAATAGAAGACGTCAAACAGATGACGTGCGTATGCTCCCATTCCAGAAGCCGTGGCGTTTGTGCATTCAAGAGTTGCACAGGATATTGGTGGCGATCGGGTGTAGCTGACCATGTTTTTTTGCATGTATTGGAGATAGGCCTTGTCTTTGACGTCACTGCTGAGGTCCACCTGAGATCCAGAAATCAGAAAAAACGAAAATTTCCAAAAATGCTTACCACTAGCATATTAGTTGCTCCTTGTTTCGCCAAAGGCTCCAAACCATCGCTAACATTTGAAAATGCTTCCCAGACGGGTGTCAAGCCGGATTCTTTGACTGAAAGGTATACATTATTATGTAAAATTTTATGTTCTAAATTTTTTCAATTTACAAGATTTCTCTAGCTGTCCTGGTTTTTGAGATATGCGCCTTTAAAGCCGATGAGGGAGACGCAGAGAAGCGAGAGCGCTGTCGTTTCTCTCTCTCTACTGCAACTTGAAAGGCGCATATTTTGCTTAGTTTTGCAGTAATCAAAAAGTTTTTAACTGATAAAATGTGTAAAATTTTATGCTCTACATTTTTGTAGTTAAACACTTTTTTCTAGCTATTCTAGTTTTTGAGGCATGCGCCTTTAAACTTACAAGTGGTTTTTCCCACAAACGTCTGCACACCAAATCCGATACTTCTCATGGAGAGCATCACATGAACATATTCCGGATTGTCCAAACCCAACTGAGCCGTTCGAATCATATAATCTCGTTTCTCTCCGCCCAATTGTGCACACCAGAGGACAACTGTAACAAATTGAAATGTGGCCTAGAAAAAAGGAGATTAAAAACTAGGTCAGACGGAAAAATACTGAAAGTTCTAGGCCGCCTGGGAGCCGAGATACAGCGCTATGAAATTTGGAGAGACGCTGACAGTTAGAGTGTCTCGTTGTCTGCGTCTCTAACTTCCTAAACTTTGAACGACTATATCTTGGGTTCTAGAATCGCTAGAAACGTTATTTTTTCACCAAATGAAAATTGTATGTCGTGGCCTAACTTTTCCTAGGCCACTTTTACTCACTTCTCACTCGACTCTTCAACGAATTCATCACCGCGTTTGATGTCTCGTTATCAGCAACGTCTAGTTCGGCTTTCAACACAACTTGAACCGAATATAAGGTGGCATCATTTAAAGCCGCTTCCACATCGTTCATCACTCCATGACAGTAATCGATATCCGATTTGTAGTACAGTAGAGCGACTTTGTCCCATTTGTAGGTTTCTAGAAGTCGATTGGTCGCGTAGCCGAGACTGCAAGATAAGTTTCATTCCAAAAATTGATTTTCTATGTCAACGATGAACCGAGATACGGTCTTTTGAAGTTTAGAGAGACGCGTTTTGTTAGAGTGCCTCGTCGTCTGCGTCTCTAGTACACAAACTCTAAATGATTGTATCTCAGGTTCTAGAGAAGGTAGAAACTTGATTTTTGTACCAAATAGAAGATCGTGAAGTCAGTAACAGAATGTTTAAAACGATTAAGATACTAGCTCTTCTAGGATCCGAGATACGCCCTTTCAAATATTTGGAGACGCAGACAACGAGACGTCTCTCGCGAACTAAATTTTTTGTTATTCTCAAAATACACGAAATATCCTTCAATTGTATGTGAAACAGCACTTTTCTATCTCATCTGGAACGTGAGATACAGTCTTTTGAAGTGTGCACGGTGAGAGACGGAGACGACGAGGCACCCTGTTTCTCTGCGTCTCTTTAAAACTGCAATCGTTTGTATCTCGGCTCCCAGAAATTCTAGAGACTTGATTTAAGTGCCAAATTAAAGCTCAGAAAGCGAGAAACAGAGTTTCAAAGAAATAAACTTTCCAGTTATCTCAGGAGCTGAGGTATTATCATTTGAAGAAACGAAGCCAACGAAAACTGTCTGCGTCTCTTCAAAAGGCGCTATCTCAACTCCCAGGCGCTTTAGATACTTGGTTGTTGTTGCAAAATTATCGTTGACAACCCAGAAATTCGAACATCTAAGAACTTACGTTTGCGAAGTCGGCAACACTGTCACCAAATACGGGAATCGCGTCATATCAGCCAAATCGCTTTGACTAACAAATCCCCACCCTAACACAGGCTTTTTGTAAAGGGTCCCAAGGGTGGCCATGGATCTTAAAGCTTCGGAACACGGTGGTCCAATTATGACGTCTACACTGATGTTCTGCATGAAGTAGAGTCCTGCACGGATGGTACTGGCAAGATCACATTCTGTGTATTCTACGTGATATCTGCAAATTTGGGATTTATAGAGATATATTAAGGGGCTCTGGAATTTTGGGATTTCCTGAATTTCAAAAAAAGTCAAACGTTTCTGATTTGGTCCGAATGAAACATTCGTTCCGAAAATTAGAATAAAATCTGAAAGTGAAACCAAAAAAATTATTTCTCTGCTCATAAAACATTTGTTCTGATTTTCCAAAATTTCAGATTAGAAGAAGACTTTTTTTCAAGAAAAAATCACGAATTTTTTTAAATCAAAAGATCAATAATTGTGATCTTTTTGTTCTGAAATTTCAGAAATGGCTCATGATTCCTTGAAAATTTTCGAAATTTTTACGGGGAGTTCTGAATTCGTCAATTTTGAAATCTTTATTTCTTTGAACTTTCCGTGATTTGGAAAGTTGCGATTTTTACTTCATAATGTCTGAAACTCCATAAAATCTGATTTTCTAGAATTTTTTTTCTCTGAGATTTTCAGATAACAGTCTTCTATAAAATGTAGAATTTTGAGAATTCTAGAAATTACTATCCAGAACAATTTCAATATTTTAAGGATTCTTTGTATTATTCGAAATTTCCATATTTTCCCTATTAGTCATTTTTGTCCCTTAAATTCGAAGATCACTGAATCCGGAAAAATAACAAAACTTGCGTAGAAAAATATTCGAAAAAAATGTGATAAGGATTAAAATTCTGAAATCATTACTAATAACATTCACCAGATTCTGTATGTGCGTGTGTAGGTAGCGCACCTTATCACCCATTCAAAGTTAACCGATCAAGCTGAAACCTTGACAGATAGATCAGAATTGTGTCTTAGTTGATGCCCGAACTTTTGGTTTTTCGAAATTTTGATTTTGAAGTCTTCTGGAGACGTTCCTTGGTTTCACCTCAAAAAAGGGTGGTGGGCAGAAAGGGCGATGGTGGAGGGCGACCAGAAGCCAGGAGGTTTAGCCCCGAAGGGGCCTAAACCGACTGGTTATTATTCATGAAAAAAAGTGAACATTTAAGTACACAATAGTTTGGAATTTCTATAATTTTAGATTTGAAAAAATGCAATTTTGAAAAGCCGTTTTTTTTACTTTTTTCGTTTCATAAAAATTGGGGAAAAAACAGAAAATTCAAAAATTCCAAGAATTTCAAATACCGTAAAACCTGTATTAGAAGGGCATAATAGAAGGGTCCCTCTAATAGAAGGGCCATCCGAGAGGGGTTTGAAAAAAGGAACAATAGAAAGGCAGGCCCTTCTAATACAGGTTTTACGGTATTAAGGAAAACCGAAACATCAAAAAACCCAAAATAAAAATATGCACTCACTCAAAATCGAAATTCCCAACGAATCCATTTTTTCGTAAATATTCTTCTGCTAGTGGAAGAGCACCACCACAAATATTGAATCCAATTGAAGTGGCTTGAGTTTTTTGAGCAGCTGCAATTCCCACTTTTATCTGAAAATTTTGAAATTCTGAAAATTCTGAAAATCCGATTTTTTTTGAACAAAAAAATCGGAAAGTTTGGAATTCGAGAAAAGCTGGAATTCAAGATGATTCTGAAAATTTTTGTGCAAAAATCTTTAACTCGAAGTTCACCAAACATCAGGAAATATGAAATTTGAAAAGATCTGAAAATCGAAGAATCCGAAAGATCTGAAAAACTGAAAATTTCAAACATTCCAGGAATTTCAAAAATCTCTAAAAAGTCTGAAATTCCAGAGAATCCTAAATTCCTAAAATTAGAAATCTCCGAAATTTCAAAAATTCAAAAAAAATTAGGAAATTCAGAAATTCAGAAATTCAGAAATTCAGAAATTCAGAAATTCAGAAATTCAGAAATTCAGAAATTCAGAAATTCAGAAATTCAGAAATTCAGAAATTCAGAAATTCAGAAATTCAGAAATTCAGAAATTCAGAAATTCAGAAATTCAGAAATTCAGAAATTCAGAAATTCAGAAATTCAGAAATTCAGAAATTCCAAACTTTCGGAAAATCAAAAAAATCTAAAAAATTCGAAAATCAGAAATTTCAAAATTAAAAAAAAAACCACTTACCACAGTTTTTGGAGTCGTCGCCGTCAAATTTTGAGCATCTGTCCCATAATTCCAAAAACCGAAAACCCAAAATATCCAAAATTTATCCATTTTTCTTATCTGAAAAAAGTAATTTCAGATTTTCAGAGAATTCAAGCCAAAAAAATCGGAAAATGGGGGCGATAGCTGAACTAGCCGAAAATTTTATTATAAAAAATGCGGAAAAAAAATTTCGAAACCTTAAAATCTTCAAATTTTCCGGCTTCGCCTGTTCCGACGATGACGTGGCTTCTCTTCCTGTTTGAATTTTTGTTTTTCACAATTTTTTGAATTCTGCGCGAATCAAAAGTACATATATTCAAGTCCCATGATTTCGGATGATTCATTTTTAAGGCATTTTTTTCCTGCGTCATTCATTCCTTCATTGTTTTCCTGTCTGGAACAAAACAACAGGTTTCCTAGAGAAACTAGAAATTCAAAACTCAGATTTTTGAATCCTCTCTAGACCCACAATTTTGATTATTGTTAAATCAAGAATTGTTGTTAGTTTCGCTTTGAAAACCTTCAAAATATGAGAAAAATATCCTTTCATTCTGTTCAAAAACCAGATTCTTTGACCGCCTGAGAGCCGAGATACAGCCGTTTGAAGTTGTGGAGGCTAGAGACGCAGACGACGAGACACACTGCGTAAAATTATGAAATTTCAAAAATTCGAAAAATTGCATTTAGTATCAGAAAATACACTAAATATTCTTTAATCCGGTCTGAAAATCATCTTTCTACGCCGCCTGAGAGCCGAGATACAGCTGTTTGAAGTTTTGGAGGTTAGAGACGCAGTATGTCTCGTCCGGTGAGTCCTGAAAAACTTTATATCTTCAGATTCCTATAATTTTCAGCGTCGATCTGCTGGTAAAATCAAGTTTCTAGACCGCCTGGGAGCCGAGATACAAGCGTTTGAAATTTTAAGAGACGCAGACAACGACACACTCTGACTGTCTGCGTCTCTTCGAACTTCAAAAAGATGTATCTCGCGTTCTAGAAGAGCTAGAAAAGTGATTTTAACAGAGAATTAAAGGAAATTAAATGAGTTTTGAGGAAATCAGAAAAAGCCTGGAATTGGTCTAAAAATCAAAATCCTAGGACGTCTGGGAGCGGAGATACAGTCATTCAGAGTTTCGGAGGCCAGATACGCAGACAACGAAATTCTCTGACTGTCTGCGTCTTTTCAAACTTTGAACAGCTATATCTCGCGCCGAAGAAGAGCTAGAAACTTGCTTCTTTTTGGATTTTGTGTATTTCTAGATTTTCTATCTCTTTAGCTTCAAATTGGTCCAAAAAATCAATACTAGCGAGACTGAGCTGATTTAGAAGTAAATTTTTACTTTTTTTGGATTTTCGAATTTCTGTAATTCAGGAATCATTTTATGACAAAAATCGAATTCTCAGCACTTCTAGAACCCGAGATATGATCATTCAAAGTCTGGAAGGTGAGAACCACATACGGCGAGATACTCTAACTGTCTGCGTCTCTTCTGAGCTTCAAACGGCTGTATCTCGGTTCCCAGAAGACCTAGATAGCTGATTTTTTGACTGAATAAGAGTACTTGAAGTTAAAAAGAGACGCAGACAGTTAGAGTGTCTCGTCGTCTAGCCTCCCGAACTTCAAATGGCTATATCTGCGCTTCTAGAGAGACCAAAAAGTGTAGAATCTTTTCTAGATTTCAGAAATTTAATGCTTCCCTATTTTTCTGTGAATTATTCTCCGAAAATTCGAATTTCTCCATTTTCCTGAAAAATGTCTTCTTATTGAAATCGCTTTTCTGTATGAAAAATGAATAGTGCGAGCCCCAATTTTTTCAGAATTTCTTTTTTTTTGATGTCAAGCCAGATTTCCACATAAATCCTAAAATTTCCATTATTTTGAACAATTGAAAAATGAGTAATCTGGTTGTAAACCAAAAAATCCTTCCGGATATATCGAAACTCAAATGGGACCAATCCACGTATTCAGGTACACGGTGGCCTAACTTTTCTCGGAACTTCTAGGCCACCAAACTCAAGTTCGCGTTTTCTGTATCAATTAAGTGCACATAATACTGATAATTCTACCACTTTCTATATGGCCTAACTTTCCCCCAGTCCTACGTTTTCTAGGCCGCGCCAAGCACTTCTTCTCCTCTACCAACCCTATTACCCTCTTCTCTTCGGCTGCTCAACAGGAAACATGTCGAGAAATTGTGACTAATTATCGGAAAGGGATAATTAGTGATCAATTAACAGTCAACGAGTTATGGAGAGCCAAAGCCTTGTACGATGCCACGTATCATCCGGATTCCGGAGAGAAAATGTTCTTTTTGGGACGGATGAGTGCTCAGGTGAGCATATGTTCTAGAAAATCACTTAATTCCCCCTGATTCTGTTTAAAAACCAACTCTCTAACTCATCTAGGAGCTGAGATATAACCTTTTAAAGTTTGGAGAGACGCAGACAACGAGACACACTGCGTCTCTGACTCTAGCTGTCTGCGTCTCTTTGAAATTTCAAACGACTGTAACTCGGCTTCCAGGCATGCTAGAAAGCTGGTTTTTGAACTTAACTAAAGGGCTTTTTCTCTTTTCTATGACTGGCATCAAACATCTTCTATTTTCAGATGCCCGGCAACATGGTGATCACTGGAATACTCCTGAGTCTCTACCGTACCTTTCCTGGCGTGGTATTCTCTCACTGGATCAACCAGTCTTTCAACGCTGTTGTCAATTATACGAATCGTAGTGGAAATGCCAAAACAACCAATGAGCGACTTTTTGCTTCGTATTGCTGTGCGACTGGTGGAGCAATGACAGCCGCGTTGGGATTGAATAAATTGGTTAAGGTGGGTCTACTTCTAAGGCGCATATCTCAAAAACTAGAATGGCTAAATAAGAAATTTAAATCATAAAATTGTAGAAAATAGAATTTTACACATTTTAGTAGTTGTAAAAATTTGGATAGCTCTAAAACTAAGTAAGATATGAGCCTTTGAAGATTTAGGAGACGCAGAGAACTTTAAAGGCACATATCTCGCTTAGTTTGAAATTTATCTAAAATATTAAAAAATCGAAAATGTGTAAAATGTTATAATCTACATTTTTGTAGTTTACTATTATTTGATAGATATCTTAGTTTTTGAGATATGCGCCTTTAAAGGTCTTTGGGATAATTCAATGCTTCTTTGTCTATTGTTTTTCCCCTCCACCTTGTCACTGGGGCGGAGCTTCCCAGAAACCAAAATTTTTCAGAACAACCATGGACTAGCTGCTCGTTTAGTCCCATTCGCGGCCATTGCTCTGGCCAACGCAATCAATATTCCAATGATGAGAAGCAAGTAAGTCCCTATTGACTTTAAAGGCGCATATCTCAAAAACTAGGTTAGCTGTTGAAAAGTGACAAACTGCAAAAATGTAGAACATTAAATACTACACTTTTTCTTTTTTGAATCTTTTGAATAGCTTCAAAACCAAGCGAGATATGCGTCTTTGAAGTCAAGGGAGACGCAGAGATGTGAGAGCGCTCTCTCTCTTCTCCGCGTCTCCTTGCCGGCTTTAAAGGCGCATATCCAGCTTAGTTTTGAAGCTATGGAAAAAATTCAAAAAAGGAAACATGTAAAATTTTATGTTCTACATTTTATCAGTATGCAACTTTTTCATAGCTGCTCTAGTTTTTGAGATAAGCGTATTTAAAGAAAAAAGAAACCCAGAGAAACTAAAGTGTTCAATAGAGCGCATTTTCTGCCTCTAAAATTTCAGTGAGATCACCGATGGAATGGAATTGAAGGATGAAAACGATAATTTGGTTGGAAGATCTAGAAAAATGGCAGTTCTATCAATTGCTCAAGTTACGATGAGTCGAATTGCTATGGCTATGCCGTATATGGGTAAGATGGGCGGCTTAGAGTCCCATAGGTGGCTTAGAAAACCAATTTTTTTCAAATTTCGTTTTCTAGGCCACTATCAATTTTTTTCAGTAATGACACCAATTATCATGAACCGTATCACTCGAACTGCCTACTACCGTACCCGCCTGTGGATGCAAAAATATTCAGAAATTCCGATTCAAACCGTTTTGGCGGGAATCGGACTCTATTTTACGACACCACTTTGCTGTGCACTTTTCCCACAAAAATCGGCAATTGAGGTAAGACAATTTTGAACTACTGTAGTTTTTCGAAATTTCGAATTTTTTGAAAATTTGAATTTTTGTAGTGTTGGAAATTTGAAAATGTCTGATTTTGAGATTCTGAGATTCTAAGGTTTTGAGATTCTGAGATTCTGAGGTTCTGAGATTCTAAGGTTTTGAGATTCTGAGATTCTGAGGTTCTGAGATTCTGAGATTCTAAGGTTTTGAGATTCTGAGATTCTGAGGTTCTGAGATTCTGAGATTCTGAGATTCTGAGATTCTGAAATTCTGAGATTCTGAAATTCTGAGATTCTGAGATTCTGAGATTCTGAGATTCTGAGATTCTGAGATTCTGAAATTCTGAGATTCTGAAATTCTGAGATTCTGAGATTCTGAGATTCTGAGATTCTGAGATTCTGAGATTCTGAAATTCTGAGATTCTGAAATTCTAAGATTCTGAGATTCTGAGATTCTGAGATTCTGAGATTCGGAGATTCTGAAATTCTGAAATTCTGAGATTCTGAGATTCTGAAATTCTGAGATTCTGAAATTCTAAGATTCTTAAATTCTGAGATTCTGAGATTCTGAGATTCTGAGATCCTGAGATTCTGAGATTCTGAGATTCTGAAATTCTGAGATTCTGAGATTCTGAGATTCTGAGATTCTGAGATTCTGAGATTCTGAAATTCTGAGATTCTGAAATTCTAAGATTCTGAGATTCTGAGATTCTGAGATTCTGAGATTCGGAGATTCTGAAATTCTGAAATTCTGAGATTCTGAGATTCTGAAATTCTGAGATTCTGAAATTCTAAGATTCTTAAATTCTGAGATTCTGAGATTCTGAGATTCTGAGATCCTGAGATTCTGAGATTCTGAGGTTCTGAGATTCTGAGATTCTGAGATTCTGAGATTTTGAGATTATGAAATACTGAAATTCTGAAATCCTGACATTCTGAGATTCTGACATTTCGAAGTTATCGGAATTTTTCGATAATTTGAAAATTATAGAATTTTCGGAATGTTCGGGATTTCTGTATTTTTCTAAAATTTCTGGAACTTTTGGAATTTTTCAGATTCCTCGGAATCTCTGAAACTTTCGTAATTTTAAAGCTCTGGAATTTTAGAATTTTCTGATTTTTTCTCGAGACTTTCACATTCTTCAAAAATTTTGAATATAGAATTTTTTTTTCGAAATATCTTTTTCGAAAATTTTGGTTATTCTGATATGTCGGGATATCAATTTTTCAAAAAATCCAAAAAATTGAAAATTCCAAAAATTCAAGATTCAAGAATTAAAAATCAAAATATATCTGAAATCTAAAATTCTGAAATTGCAAACACACAATTTCGAAATTTGATCAAATTCAGAATCCCGGAATAAATAATAGAGATTCTGAAATTCTGAAATTCTGAGATTCTGAGATTCTGAAATTCTGAGATTCGGAGATTCTGAAATTCTGAAATTCTGAGATTCTGAGATTCTGAAATTCTGAGATTCTGAAATTCTAAGATTCTTAGATTCTGAGATTCTGAGATTCTGAGATTCTGAGATCCTGAGATTCTGAGATTCTGAGGTTCTGAGATTCTGAGATTCTGAAATTCTGAGATTCTGAGATTCTGAAATTCTGAAATTCTGAGATTCTGAGATTCTGAAATTCTGAGATTCTGAAATTCAAAGATTCTGAGACTGAGGTTTTGAGATTCAGAGATTCTGAAATTCTAAGATTCTGAGATTCTGAGATTCTGAGATTCGGAGATTCTGAGACTGAGGTTCTGAAATTCTGAGATTTTGAGATTCTGAAATTCTGAGATTCTGAAATTCTGAGATTTTGAGATTCTGAAATTCTGAGATTCTGAAATTCTGAGATTTTGAGGTTCTGAAATTCTGAGATTCTGAAATTCTGAGATTTTGAGATTCTGAGATTCTTAGATTCTGAGATTCGGAGATTCTGAGATTCGGAGATTATGAAATTCTGGGATTCTGAAATTCTGAAATTCTGAGATTTTGAGATTCTGATATTCGGAATCTCAGACTTTTCGAAAAAATATCAATTTTCAAAAAAATTTTAAATTTCAGGTCTCAAAACTTGAGAAAAACCTCCAATTGGATATTTCAAAGCTTCCAAATCCTCCGAAAATCGTTTTCTATAACAAAGGACTTTAGAAAAATCTACGTGGAATCATGAAAAAGCAGAAAACTTTTTTTTCGGTAGAAAATTTAAATAAAGTTCATTTTTTATTCGAAAACTTTGAAATTTCCTCATTTTCTTCTGGGGAAAATTATAAAATAGCACCAAAAAACCGAAGAGAAACACAAATGAATGATCTTGTCATCAATCTCAAAACGAAACCGGACATTTCGAAACCACAATGGGACCAACGGACGTATTATGGTGAATTCGAAAATTCCCGAAAATTCTGGAATTCTGATGTTTTTAAATTCTGAAATTCTGAGATTCTGATATTTTGAGATCATGAAATTCTGAGAATCTGAAATTCTGAAATACTGAAATTCTGAAGTTCTGAAATGCTGAAATTCTGAAATTCCGAAATTCCGAAATTTCAGAAATTTCAGAAATTCAGAAATTCAGAAGTTTTGAGATCCTGAGATTTTGAGATTCTGAGATTCTGAGATTCTGAAGTTTTGAGATTCTGAGATTCTGGGAATTCTAAAATTCTGAAAATCTGAAACTCTGAGATTCTGGAAATCCCAAAATTCTGAAATTCTGAGATTCTGAAATTCGGAGATTCTGAAGTTTTGCGATTCTGAGATTCTGGGAATCCCAAAATTCTGAAAATCTGAAATTCCGAAATTTCAGAAATTCAGAAATTCAGAAGTTTTGAGATCCTGATATTTTGAGATTCTGAGATTCTGAAATTCTGAAATTCTGAAATTCTGAAATGCTGAGATTCTGAGATTTACGAAAATCTAGGCCTTCTAAAATTTTCCAGGCCGCGTCCGCCACTTCTTCACACTAACCAACCCTCTGACCCTCTTCTCATCCGAAACTCGTCAGGAAAAATGTCGAGAAATTGTGACTAATTATCGGAAAGGGATAATTAGTGATCAATTAACAGTCAACGAGTTATGGAGAGCTAAAGCCTTGTACGATGCCACGTATCATCCGGATTCTGGAGAGAAAATGTTCTTTTTGGGACGGATGAGTGCTCAGGTAGGCACTTATTATTAAAATATATGAAACTTCCTTTGATTCTATGAAAGAATCACTTTTCTAGCTTATCTAGAACTCGAGATATAGGTTTTTGAAGTTCGGAGAGACGCAGACGACGAGACACACTGTGTCTCTAGACACTCTAACTGTCTGCGTCTCTTCAAAACTTCAAATTGCTGTAACTCGGCTTCTAGACGCCCTAGAAAGCTGGTTTTTGAACTGAATCAAAGGAAATTTTCTATATTTTATGACTGACATTAAAAAGAGACATAATAAAATTTAAAAAAAATTCCAGATGCCCGGCAACATGTTGATCAACGGAATGCTCCTCAGTCTCTACCGTACCTTTCCTGGCGTGGTATTCTCTCACTGGATCAATCAATCATTTAACGCTGTCGTCAATTATACAAATCGTAGTGGAAATGTAAAAACTTCCAATGAACGACTCCTTCTTTCATATCTTTGTGCAACGGGAGGAGCCATGTCCGCCGCGTTGGCACTTAATGCGATGGTTAAGGTAAGAAATTTGGAAGATGATACAAAAACGTTTAATGTCATCTTGTAGGAAATTTAAGAGCTATCTTTTTATAGTTGACAGTTTTTTGATAGCTCTCTCAGTTTTTGAGATATGCGCCTTTAAAGTGAAGAAGAAGGTAACGAGGACGCCTTCAACTTTAAATGTTCATATTTCGCTTAGTGTTGCAGATATCAAATATTTTGAAAAACAAAAATTGTGTAAAATTTTGATATCTGCATTTTGATAGTTAATACAATTTCCTAGAATTTCTACTTCTCGAGTTATATTGGTTTTTCCAGAACAAGAACAGTGTAGCCGCTCGTCTCGTCCCATTTGCCGCAGTGGCAATGGCCAATTGTATCAATATTCCAATGATTCGGAGCAAGTGAGTTTAAAATTTGCAAACTTCACAAAATTTAAAATATTTTACTAATTTACCAAATTTTGATAGCTCAAAAAATAGCGGAGATGTGGAAGGTCAAAGTTTTTTCGCCTTCAAAATTGGGTCCTCTAAATTGAAAGGCGCATATCTCAAAAACTTGGAAAGCTATCAAAAAGTTGAAAACTACAAAAATTTTGAATATAAAATTTTGAATATTTTGTCAGTTGGCATTTTTTTGTTATCTTTGAAGCTGAGCGAGATATACTTTGAAGCAACAACGCGCTCTCGCTTCACTGCGTATCCCTCTCGGGTTTAAAGGCGCATATCTCGAAAACTTGGAAAGCTATCAAAAAGTTGAAAACTACAAAAAAGTAGGATATAAAACTTTAAACATTTTAATATTTTTCAAAATTGCGACAGCCCTCACCAAATTCTCAATAGAGCGCATTTTGCAGCGAAGTCACTGAAGGCCTCGAGTTGCGTGATGAAAGAGGAGAACTCGTTGGAAGGTCTCGGAAAATGGCTGTTCTCTCGATTGCTCAGGTTACGATGAGCCGGATTTTCATGGCTATGCCGGATATGGGTGAGTCACTGTGGCCTAGAATCCTGAATTTCTAGGCCATGGCCTAGAAAACCAAATTTGAGTTTTCTATGTCATAAGGATCCCTTGAACGTTTGATTTTGAGACTTTTCGTGTTTTTGATTGTGTCCTAAATTTTAGGGTTTCCATATTTTTCAAAAAAAAAAAAACAAAAAGTGTAAAAATCCTAAATGTTTGATCTCGGAAATGTCAGGCTTCATTATTCTAGTACAAACCGAGGTGGCCTAGAAAACCAAATTTGGGTTTTTAGGCCAGACCAAGAAAATAAAACTCTGAAATTCTTGAATTCTGAAATTCTGAAATTCTTGAATTCTGAAATTCTGAAATTCTGAGATTCTGGAAATTCCAAAATTCTGAAAATCTGAAATTCAGAAATTCAGAAGTTTTGAGATCCTGAGATTTTGAGATTCTGAGATTCTGAGATTTTGGAAATTCTAAAATTCTGAAATTCTGAGATTCTGAGATTCTTGAAGTTTTGAGATTTTGAGATTCTGCGATTCTGAAATTCTGAAATTTGGAAATTCTGAAATTCGGAAATTAAAAAATTGAAAATTTCCGAAAATTTCGAAAAATTAAAAATTTTCAAAAATCCCAAAACATGGCCTAGAAAAACAGAATTTGGAATTCTAGGCCATGTGTCGGATTCTAGGCCGGCCTTCGTTTTAGGTCAATTGTTGTGTTTTAGGTTACTAGTCGGATCCTATGCTATCATTTTTGTTTTTGATTATTAAAAGATCTTGGATGTCTTGAAGCCCGACAGTCGATGTAGAAAACAAAATGGCCTAGATTTTGGATTCCTAGGCCACTTGTCGGATCCTAGGCCCAGCTTTCATGTTAGGTCATAGCTCGGTTTCTAGTTTATGTGTCGGATCCAAATAACTAGGATTCCAACACATGGCCTAGGAAACCAAATTTGGATCCCTAGGCCAGGTGTCGGATCCTAGGCCCCCATTCTAAACATCGAGTTTTATTTTCAGTAATGACACCAATCATCATGAATCGCATCACGCGAACTGCCTACTACCGTACCCGTCCATGGATGAAAAAATATTCAGAATACCCGATTCAGACGATGTTGGCCGGAATGGCTCTGTTTTTCACGCACCCCGTATGTGTTGTGCACTTTTTCCACAAAAAACTGCTGTAGAGGTAAAATTTTTTAATTTCAAAAAAAAAAAAATTTTTTTTGAATTTTTAAAAAAATTACAAAATTCAGAATACTTTTTTTTCAGGTCACGAAACTGGAACCCGCTTCTCAGAATGAGATTTTCTCTCGTGCCGATGCTCCAGAAGTGGTTTTCTACAACAAGGGATTATGAGAAGAAGTCTGGAAATTTGGAGAACTGAAATTTATCTGAAAATCTGAAAATCTGAAAATCTAAAGATCTCAATAAATTTCTTTCCGTTTTTTTCTTCTTTTTTTGGAGAAATTACGTATACAAAAAAAAAGAATACGTAAAAAGGAGGATTCCTTTCTTTTTCAAGGATTTCTGGGAAGAACCAGGAAGAAGCTGAAAATTTGGGAAATTTCGGAGATTCCCAAAACACAGAACACACAAATTTTCATTTCCAGTCGTCATTTTTGTCTGGAATTCCAGAAAAATGAAAGTTCTGGAATTTTTCATACTACTATTATTTTCTTCTGCGAATACTCAAAATTCGACCACGAATTTTGAGTATTCTGTGTATTCGTCGAATTCGACGAATTCTGGGAATAATTCAACGAATCGAAAAATTGTAAGTTTTTCGAATTTTTTGGAATTTTCAGATCTTTCTGAATTAGAAAAAAAAACGTTCAAAATTCCAAAAAAATTCAAAAAAAAATCCAAATACTCAAAATTTCGGCACCGCGACACTTTGAAACCGGTCATTTCGAAACCAGTCAGTTCGAAACCGTGACACTTCGAAACAATGTGACACTTCGAAACCGAGACACTTCGAAACCGCGACACTTCGAAACTATGTGACACTTCGAAACCAGACATTTCGAAACCGGTCATTTCGAAACCGGTCATTTCGAAACTAGTCAGTTCGAAACTATGTGACACTTCGAAACCAGACATTTCGAAACCGGTCATTTCGAAACCGGTAATTTCGAAACTAGTCAGTTCGAAACTATGTGACACTTCGAAACCAGACATTTCGAAACCGGTCATTTCGAAACCGCGACACTTCGAAACCGTTTATTTTGAAACCAGTCAGTTTAAAACCAGTAATTTCGAAACCAGCAATTTCGAAACCTAGACACTTCGAAACCGCGACACTTCGAAACTATGTGACACTTCGAAACCAGAAATTTTGAAACCAATCACTTCGAAACCGCGACGTTTCGAAACTGGTAATTTCGAAACTGCGTGACACTTCGAAACCGGTCACTTCGAAAACGAAAAACGACTCGTTTCGAAATGACCGGTTACGAAGTGTCGCGGTTTCGACACGACGCGGAGCCGAAATTTCAAGAAAACTTTAAAAAAAAATAATTCATTAATTTTTCGGAAGTTTTAGGATTTTCGATTTACGATTTTTCTGTGATTCCTGAATTTTTCGGAATTTCAGAATTTTTAGAGTCACAGGAAACTCTGAAAATCCAATACTTTTTCAGATAAAAATCGGAATCGCTGCCGCCGAGACCAATCAAACCGGCTCTGTTGGTTGGTCGGTGTGTGGTGGTGCCGTCCCGTTAGCAATTGAACGTCTCCGCCAATTCGGATTTGTGGAAAACTTTGATTTTGAGTATGTCTACCGGAAAATGGAAAATATTTCACATTAATTGGTGAAAACATCAAGTTTCAAGGTCTTCTAGGAGCTGAGATATGGTCATTTGAAGTTTTGGCGATCTAGCTGTCTGCGTCTCTCTTGTCAGGCGCGAGAGACGCAGCGTGTCTCGTTATCTGCGTCTCTTCAAACTTCAAACTGCTATAACTCGGCTCCCAGACGACCTAGAAGCCTCATTTCTTTTCCAATCGTTAG